GCCCTGGTTTTCAGGCTGTCAGGCTGAAACAGACACAGGGCCTGTAGGCCCTGGTTTTCAGGCCGTCAGGCTGAAACAGCCACGGGGCCTGTAGGCCCTGGTTTTCAGGCCGTCAGGCTGAAACAGCCACGGGGCCTGTAGGCCCTGTTTCAGGCTGTCAGGCTGACATGGACACAGGGCCTGTAAGCCCTTGTTTCTAGGCTTTTAGGCTGAGACTGCGGGACGGGCCCTGCAGGCCCGTGTGGCTACGCAGTATGCCACAACAGGGCATATCCCATGATCTACTGAACAGTCCTCGTTGAGGGCATACTCACACTTGCACACAGACAAATGTATCTAACTAATTTCAGGCCCAAATTCACGTTTCGTTTTTTTTTTCTTCTTTGAGACTTTGAGATTCAATTCTTTGTTTTCTTTTTCCTTATTTTACTCTTGGATTCTGACAGAAACGCCATGGGGCTGATACGCCCAAACTGCGACGTGCTCACATTAGCACTCAGGAGAATGCATCCAACTGCATTCACATCCACAGCGTTGTTGTTTGTTTGTTTATTTTTGCTGTTTTTGTTTTCCAATGGTCCCCCCAGCCTTGGCCCGTCCAGCTACTGGTACTGCCAGGCTGGCAGGCTCGCCATACCAGTCGCTGGAGGCTCGGACTTGATAGCTGGGCAAAGTACTGGTGGTTTAAGGGAAAAGACGAGCATTATTTACCTTTGACGGGGTGTAGAAGAACTCCCCTATGAGCAGATGCACTATGGTGAGAAGGGGAACAACCGAGTAGTCCAGGAAGGGAATTTATGCAGCCATAGCAGCCCGCGGCAGAAGGCAAGGAAGAGGCTGGGCTGGGGGTAGAGATGGATATGGCCTTGCAGTCTAGGGGAGAGAAGGCAAAATGCCTTCCAATAGGGTGGAGGAGGCTGTAAGGAGGCAGAGGGAACTTCTACCAATAAGGTGGAAGAGGTGGGAACAATTATATTATTGCCAGTAGTCAAGGCGGTGAGGTTAATTTCCCATGTCGTGGCCCACGAAGGTACCCGCCGAATCCAACGAGAGAACAAGGACCCTTGGAAAGCAATGAAGATGTCGGAGGCCCAATGGAGGAAAATGAGAGATGAGAGAAGATGCTTTGAGTGAGGGGATACGGGTCACATCCTCCCCTTCTGTCCGAAATTGGAAGAGACCATAAAAACGGCTGGCCAGTAAAGGCAGCAGTCGAAGACGCGTGCACTGAGAAGACACCCTCCTGCTCACAGTCCTAAATGGCAGAAGCTTACGTAGGCCCCTGCCTAGGCATTTACCCATAGTTTGTTTGTGCTAGGGTCTCTCTAGGTGGATCCCTTGCAGGCATAGGCAAAGAACTGATAACTGCTCTCCAAGGAGAGTGAGGGGAACTAATTTTCGCAGATGTAGAAGTACATAGGACCAGACTAGGCACATTAGTAGACAGCTGATCGACTAAAACTTAATCTTTAGGAGAAGGATAAGGAAACTGCACCTAGTAGTGAAAGTCCAGAGGTTGAAAGAGTCAGTACTGTCAAAATGGACAGGCAGATTAATGTAATTGAGTACATTGAGGGGATTAATGTAGTCCTGAGGAGGATAGGTGGTACATTAAGAACGAGCTGAGAGAAACAGTCCTGAACATCGTGGTATACAACGAGAGGGCTAGAAGAGGCATCAACATTGCAGATAGGTGAGAAAGACGATACCCTTCTCAAAGACCTCAAAATTAGGCCGTCAACCTTGCAAGGATTTCACATCTCTGACAAGTCCGGTGTACCGGTGTCGGAAGGCCCAAAAGTCTGGCCCTCCGCGTTGTGTCAAATTTGCCACACCGGTTTGGCGGTCCGGTCCGCTCTGCCCGACGGCAGGTGGCTGCGCTACTGGGCAAAGGGGAATTCAACCCTTGGCAATACGGCCCTCTGCGGTGGCGTATAACTGGATAAGTGTGTGCCGATTCTAATCTTATGAGTTTTGCTTCACCAAGCCAATTTGGTGAGCTCTGCTGGTATTCCTTTTGCCGGGGATTATGCTAAATCCAATAATAAATTATAAAAATAATATGGTAACCGACCGGACGTCCAGACCCAGTTCCAGACAGTCCGGAATAACATGTCCATATGTCCGGTCCTTATGTCCGGATGGAGGCCCTCAGGACAAAAATTAAAAAAGTGAAGGTGTGACGGGGCTGAGGCAACGAAGCTGGGACAGAGAGGGAGAGAGTGAGAGCACACACACACACTCACTCAACACGACGCAGACTCGACACGACTCGACGGACGCAGACACGAAGTGGCAAAGTCGCAAAGTCAAAGTCTTGGATTTCCCGAACACAATGTCGAAGCAAGTCCCACTGAGTACGAGTACAGCAGCAGAAAACTGGTACGAGACCGGTCCCCGTACCGTGAAGCCGGTACAAGTACCAGTGACACGTACGGTACCAGGGGCATATCTGCAAAGGCCCCGAGGGCAGAACTGAAAAATGCGGTATTTGAAAGTGGGGCCTGAATTGCAGCATGGTGCCAGGATTTGGAAAAAGGGTGCCAGGCTGAAAACGGGATGCAGCTGCAACAGCAAAAGGATAGACCAGGGATCGAGCCCTGGCGGAGACCGTAACACTATCCCCTCCCTCTAGAAGGCAACGTCCCGGCTGCCAAAAATCATGAAGCAATGCTGAAATCTGTGAAGGACAGGACGGGGCCGATCACTGGTTAACAAGTCGAAAGGGAAGAGGGGTATAATGTGGGTGGCATGGGCTGCGGGAGTAAGAGGGAACAGGGTTTGGTACCGGTGAACAGGGTTGTCCTACTGATGAACTAGGGGGGGTTGCAGGGAACAGGGTAGTCCTACAAATGAACTAAAAGGACGGCAGGGAGCAGGGTAGTCCTACTGATGAACTAAGGGGACTGCATGGTTTGCTATAGGTTAAGGGG